GAATGAATGAATTTTGAGGTGGTCGTTAGGTTCGGTTTCACTGTATAATCTAAACTAAATTCAATAACGCTGGGGCAAATCTATGAACAAACGAAAGATTTACCAAGGGAATAAGACCAGATGTTCCGGAAAATCAAACGTCTTCTGTTCCATCGATGACACTCGCCATGTAATCCTTGATCAATCCAAATAAGTAATGTCACGTTCTGAGATGAGAGCAAGGTATACAACAACAGAACCTTTAGACAAACGAACGAGCATCAAACACGTCCAGCTTCACGTCACACACAGAAATAACATATTTCTCAATGCTATCACCATGGTATGCAAATTATCCTTTACATTATAAGCAAGTTTTGTTTAGATCTATTTGTATGGACTGATCAAATCTTACCATACATTTTGTTTTAGATCTGTAGATATTTGTATGGATTGATCAAATCGTACCATACATTTTGTTTTAGATCTGTAGATATTTGTATGGACTGATCAAATCTTACCATACATTTTGTTTTAGATCTGTAGATATTTGTATGGACTGATCAAATCTTACCATACATTTTGTTTTAGATCTGTAGGTATTTGTATGGACTGATCAAATCTTACCATACATTTTGTTTTAGATCTGTAGATATTTGTATGGACTGATCAAATTTTACCATACATTTTGTGTTAGATTTTTAACTATTTTATAACAGTATAACAGGATAATAGAATTAAATACTCAACATTCTTTTAGAATCGCTAATCATGTGTTTTACTCAAAGTCTGAGAAATGCCATAATGAAACAGAGGAGACAAAGACAAAGTGAAATACAGATAAGGATATCAAGCTGGGAGCGTACCGATATTAATGCTTGGTGTGTTATATACTTATGAAAAATGGTAATTAGATATACACTGAAATAAGCATATTTAGAACCTCGTCATTTGATGTCGTCAAGGCAATGTTATGTCTTACAAATCGCTTCCTGATGCAGATAATGATCTGTTAAGTAATTCTCCTGTCGCTTTGTTTGTCGTCGTTGTTTGTAGGGCTGTTATTACTCGCACTAAACACTGGACACCTGTCTATATCAATCAGAACGCATGCGTGCTGTACAGGTGATTAATACACAGGTGCGCGTGGCGGTGGTCGTTAGCCCGTAATTTAAACTTAAGGTCATTCAGTGGCCAGTGTTATTATCTCAACAGCACCAGTCTCCCTCTTTGACGTAATCGCCGTGAAAATTCAACACTTCGAGCCCCAAGCATCACTGACAAACTCAGAAAGACGACCCATATGTATGATGTGGTATCAGTCATCATTTGTCATGACTTTATCTAATGGTCGATTTGTGCTGAACGATGCTGATCACAGTTTGTGTGTCTGTTGCGCAGTCCTTTGAGATTGCGTGTGGTAGAGCCATACACTGTTGGTAGACTTTTTGCCCCTGAGATTTGCTGTAAACTGCTTGCCACGTTTTAATTCATGGGAATAGTGACACGGTTCAGAATATACACATGTACTTGGTAATCTTTCTGTATCATTTAATAATTAAGATTTTGAAATTTAGGAAATTTATTGTATATTCTTTTTAAAGTACTATTGTTATAACATCTCCCCGTATGGCTGTTGGTATTTATTTTGACCAAAGTTTAAGTTAGGAATAAAAGAGTCACTTAATTTCGGCTTTAAATGCCATAGAACAGATGTTTTAAACAGCCAACGTTGTAAAAGTCAATTTGAAACTACATGCACGTACTCAACAACATCTTGTGATATTCTATTCCTTGGTGTTGTATTTCATAAAAAAATAATTCATGGTATTCTGTTTGTATAGTTTGTGTAATGTTCTCACGTCGACACGCTTGAGCGATAACAACAATAACCATACGTACACAGTATATGTTCACGGGTAGTGTATGTATTTAGAATTAAATAGACAGAGTAGTAATATCTCTGTTTTGACTTAATTCACGTTGCAGTTTTGAAATGATGGATGCATGACCATTACCTAAGGCAGTTTAGTCATTTGGTTGACTTGACTATAGTTTCACGGCCCTTTGGCAGTCACAGGAAATTTAGGCTAAACTGCTTTGTTGGAAGCTTTAGATGGTTTCGTTATGACAACTTTCCCTTAATTTAACGATCTAAGACGATCAAACTACACACACATATCAATGGAGGTCTTATTATAATGTCGACACAACGGCGACTGATTATGGAAAAAGAAGAAAAAATAAAATTAAAAAAAAAAACTCTAAATAGTACAAGGAACTATAGACGAGGATGTCATATTTTCTAGAATCTCTCATTTTCTTTTACTCCAATGAACGTGGTGTTTAGAAAAGCTACGTTACGAAACAACAATCAATATCATTTCGTTTTTATTTCGTTTCGCTTTTATTTCGTTTCTAGATTTGAGCAATAAGTCGCATGTCATATACTGCTTTGATATTTCAGGAAACGTATATAATCTTTAAAATTGTTTTCTCTTTAAATAAGACACGAAATTAAGTAGAAAAAGAGAAATATAGGCGATGATCGCAAATCTAGATAAAAATGACGGATAAAATTCGATGAAGAATTCCTCATTTTATCAACATCAGTTTTATCTATCTTTTTAGTTATTTCGACAAATCGACATAATCAAACCTTGTGTGAGTTTTACAAAATAACACGACTAGTCGTAATCAGAAATTGACCTCCATTGACCTCTGCTGAAAACATCCGCTCTATAAATCTAGGCCTCTATCATACAACCTCGTAATACCAACTTAACAACCTGGACTACTAATTGGGGAAATAAGAGAAGTTTGTCAACCAGAATCGACAAAATAAGTTGTATGACGTCATTGATGTGATAGATGAATACTGAAGGTAATGGCTCCTGTAGATGGTCGATATCTTCCTGACAGACAAGGTTTAGTCTGTTGTTATCGAGGCTGTTTTACCATCCATGCAATCAATATTGCTCTACCATACAAAGTGTACGTGATTAAAAAGGCTTGAAGCTCGTGTCTTATGTCTGAAAAGATTTGTTATGACAGGTGTATGGTATTGTTATATGCAGACACTATCAGGTAGCAGGCGAGACATAGTTAAATAGGGTTTTTAACGCGTCAATGTTTTCCTCCAGGACAAAATTTGATCCTGTTTTTTTCATTGACGCTACAGATCCATAGTGTTTCCTTATGCTAGTGTACATTGTACATAGAAAATGGCGAGAATCAATTGAGACACAGCTGAAAATGTATGTTCTTTTTGCAACTTAAATACTTTTTGTTGATTAAATGCGTCATTTTGCGTATTGACGTCACTGTGTTTTATGATCTCTGTCTTCATCACACGCCGTTAAACCTGGGCGCAGCGGCCGGGTACATTTTTCTGCAAGCCTTGCCATATTTTTTAAGAGTAATATATGAATAACACTGAACCATGTAGGGCATATGACCCGTGGTCATCTGACATCTGACTACCAAATACGTGTCATTGTCCCTGATAATTACTTCAGCTGTGTTCATGCCTTAGTAAGAGGTTCGTTTTCTGATATCATGAGTTTTATTTCTGAGGTGTTCAATTTTAAATTTTTGGATTAAAATCCCATTGAATATGAAATTGACCCGGAAAACTGTTTCTCTTCACTTTCAGAAATAAAATTCGTTTGCTTATTAAATTTACTAGTAAAATTCTAGTAATAATAAAGACAAATTTCAATCTTTATTTTGTTCTGATTTCTTGACAATATGGAATATTTTGTCCAGAAGATTTGGCGGTGTGAAATATGTTGTCGTGATTTCTTGACAATATGGAATATTTTGTCCAGAAGATTTGGCGGTGTGAAATATGTTGTCGTGATTTCTTGACAATATGGAATATTTTGTCCAGAAGATTTGGCGGTGTGAAATATGTTGTCGTGATTTCTTGACAATATGGAATATTTTGTTGTGATGTATTGACAATGTTGTATATTTGTCCTGATGTATTGACAATGTTGTATATTTGTCCTGATGTATTGACAATGTTGTATATTTGTCCTGATGTATTGACAATGTTGTATATTTGTCCTGATGTATTGACAATGTTGTATATTTGTCCTGATGTATTGACAATGTTGTATATTTGTCCTGATGTATTGACAGTGTTATATATTTTGTCCTGATGTATTGACAGTGTTATATATTTTGTCCTGATGTATTGACAGTGTTATATATTTTGTCCTGATGTATTGACAATGTTGTATATTTGTCCTGATGTATTGACAATGTTGTATATTTGTCCTGATGTCTTGACAATGTTATATATTTGTCCTGATGTCTTGACAATGTTATATATTTGTCCTGATGTATTGACAGTGTTATATATTTTGTCCTGATGTATTGACAGTGTTATATATTTTGTCCTGATGTATTGACAGTGTTATATATTTTGTCCTGATGTATTGACAATGTTATATATTTGTCCTGATATATTGACAGTGTTATATATTTTGTCCTGATGTATTGACAATGTTATATATTTGTCCTGATATATTGACAGTGTTATATATTTTGTCCTGATGTATTGACAATGTTATATATTTGTCCTGATGTCTTGACAATGTGTAATGTTTTGTCCTGATGGATTGACAATGTGTTATATATATTTTATATTTTGTCCTGATGTATTGACAATCCTGTATAATTTTCCCTGATGACTGGAGGTTGTAGTATGTTTGACAAGTTCACGTGATAATTCTGGATAGAAGATTTTTTTTCTTGTAAAAATTAAGTTCAACAATGCACTTTGTTTGAAGAGTCCAACATCTAAATATGTATGCAATATTATTAACTCACATCAGATATTGATTGGACTATTTGTCGGTATTGACGAAATCCCCAGGTATTGTGTTGTGTAAGTCAAGATGTTGTCATATTGTTATAAAACCGTCCCCGATCGTATTGATTAAACACTAATGAGATTTTCAAGATAAACCTTCAGCACAGCACAACTTCTCTTCTTATTAATCTACAAACAGGTGGCCCGCTCTTTGAAGGAGATATTGAAGACTTAAATGGACGTGCTCACGTGATGTGCCCATGGCATTCTTACATGTTTGATCTTGAGACTGGGAAGAATAACCTTGGAATGAAGGTTTGTTTATGGGACTTCTTACATTAAGTAATGTAATTAACGTGGAAATGAAATGGTTTAATAACTTAGAGTGGAGTCTCGCCTAGTGAAAAAAGAAAAAAAAAACATGCTTTCATTTTTGTCAATTTTTCTTGAAAATGGTTTGAATGTAGCACAGAAATCGAGAAATATATAAAATTCTTTTCTTTGAAAACGGATAAATCAAATTGAACCAACTTTTGAAAAGATCAATATAGGAAACTGCTATTGTGATGGACAGAACTTGAGGAAACCGAACCAAGTCCTCCTCTAAAGGCGAAGACAAATACAGTAATTGTAGTATTTTTCGTTGACGACAATCGCATGTCGTGATACAATCGCATGTCGTGATACAAACGTATGTTGAAAAGATGTCGTTATCTAACCAAAACAATGAAAGACGATTTTTTTATGTCACATTCGTCAATTTCACATTGTTCAAAAACACTCTTTTTGGGTTTTTTTGTTGGCGTATTAGTAATAATTACATACTTGTTTTCATGTCATTCTTTACGTCTTTGTCAACTGAACGGAAATGAAATTTATGTACCTTTTTTATTTCAGCAAGAGATTTTTAAAGTAAAGGTAGAGGAAGGGTTAGTATATGTCCTTTACGACACCGACCTTTCTACGACGCCCTTCAACAAATTGGAGTAGCTATATATTCCTCTTACAGTTCACAAACGAAGTCACACAGACAAAGAGGACAATTGCGATTCACTGGGAAACGGAATGCAATTGAAAATATCATTCTGGAAAAAGGCGAAAACCAAACGCATGTAATGAAGTCACAAAAACTTGAAATAGAGAATGTGTATTAAATTCTTACAACATTGAACATGCATCGAAAAATATTTTTTAGAAGAAATAGTTTAAAAAAGGAATAGGGATATGATGTATAATGTATGATACTTCTGCTTTAGGTTTCCATAGCTTGAAGTACTGATGTATAATTTAATGTACAATTGAATTACTTCTACACCGGGTTTCCATAGTTTCCATTAGTATATAATTGATTCATTTCTAAGCAATGTTTTAATATCTTTTAACAATGAAATATTTTATTGCCTTCACAGAAATACCTTTTTACTCGAATATATAGTAAGACAGCATACGATAATTTAATTCTTCAATTTTTTCTGTCCATAATAACTGTTAGATAAAGCCTCATCCGTTAATGCCATAGGCCTGTCCTGACCGAATCACTTTTTGACCTGAACTTTGAAGTATTCTACTCATGTTACAAACATTAAAAACCACGTTAATGTACTGTATGATAAGCTTTAGACATAAAATATGTGAATATTCCATCAGTGAATATTTTCATAGCGAGTGCATGTCTTAAGTAAACAAAAGAAACCACGTTGTATACCGTTTTGAGCCACAGATTACATGGTAAGTATAGTGCAAGTTAAGATTGTTTATGTCGGCTACGGCCAGAAGGACGAAGATTATGAGCTTTTTTTTACCTTTCCGAATCGTCTCCCCTAACATTCGCCGAATTAGACCTTGTATTGTACGACTGTAACCGTCTGTTTTCTATATATCATAGACATAATAACTCCTTGTTATTGTCACCAGGATGACTTGGTCATACAAAACCTTGGAACCAAATATATACTCCAGATGTATGATCTGCGAAATTAAATAAAAAACAACAAGAAAATAAGAAAGGCAATATCTCAACAGAATCGTAATCCAAACGCAAATTCAATTTAACTTGGGCAAAATACGTAAAAAGGAAGACTTACACCGAGACTGAATGAGAAACAAGGTGTTCCGAAAGAATAAGCGTCAAATGCTTTATCGATGACACCTGCAATGTAAATCTTGGTCAACGCAAGTAAGTAATGTCACGTTCTCAGATGAGAACAATGTATACAAAATCAGAACCAATAGATAAACTAACGAGCATCAAACACGTCCAGCTTCATTTCCAACAGGGAAATAAAATATCAAAATGATAAAGGTATAAAAAAAAAAAACAATATCAGTATGACGATGATAAACCGTCTCAATAATTTTCATCAGCTTAATCTCTTGAAAACGAACGTTATTAGAGTTTGGCAGTTGCACGCAAATCGTGATAATGGGAACAGGCCCTTGACTATCGAATACACTGTGATAAATAAACACCCTAGGTTTGAAAAGCAGGAATGATGTTATCCAGAAATGGCAAAATTAACAGAAGGGAATTAAAATAGGTTTTTATCAGGGAAAAATTCTATAACGGGGATCTTACTACAAAAGGAAATGGGTAACAGACAAACTCTATGAAAGCCAGCTCCTTGGAAAAACACAATACGCATAAACTTATTAAAAGAACACAAAGATAAATCTAAATATCTGCATAACAATTAGGATATAAATTATAATGATGAAATATGGGAGAAAAAGGGAAATATGACTATCAAACTCCTTATGATTACATATTTGTAATTTATAAAAGCTACCAAAATAACAGATCGTTCTTCAGACTTGGTCAGTAGGTCAGCGCAAACAAACTGCCCAGAAAATTAACATATCTGTGCCGTTCCATACCGGACAATTGATGAAAAGACCAAGATCTGTGGCAACATTGAGTGTAGCACCAATTAATCTACAACTCTACAATAAATGTATTGATGTTTTCATCAAGATAAGAACAGCCATGTAGAAAGGTTTGGACAGTAGGTTGGAAACATCGTTAAGAGTAGAAATGGAGTCTTTAATTAGTAGAAAGATAACACTGGCTTACAAGAAATAAAAGCACCACGCTTATACAGCTGGAGGAGAGCTGTCCATGTTGGTTCCGTTGTAGTAATATATCCAGATTAGTGGCTGGTGTCTATCTTTGAAGTGTTCCCGATTTCAGATTCTTTTTATTGGAAAATGACATGTAAATTCAACGATATGAAAATTTCCGAATTAAGAACTACACAGAAATTTTCATTACCTATAGAAAGGACAAATCCACTTGATACGTTATAAAAATAGTCCATCTTCAACGAGAACAGTTATCTAACAGTCAAAAATAATGTAATGTTTATTTCACTGATAGAATAAACTGGGTGACAATGTCATTGTCTTTTCTTCCTGAACACATGGTCTTATTTTCTTTTGTTCAAAATTTGTCCTACTTATATTGAATTTCCGTTTGGATTATGATTGTGTTGACATGTTGGTATTTTCTTGTTTTTTTTTTTTTTTTTTTTTGTCCTAGTTTTATTGAATCAGAGTTTGGATTATGATTGTGTTGACATGTTAGTAGTTTCTTGTCTTTGAAGATAATTGGCTGTTCTTTCGATATACATGTACAGGGTGTAGCGAGCGAAGTTCATTCTAAGACTAAATAATGTAATACATATGAATATATATTGTCTAAATGTATTCTACTGTGACGAATGAAATGTGGTATGTTTGGTACTCATTTCCCATGTGATAGAAACTCGAGCTCACCGGAAGTGGCTTCATCATATAAGTGTGTCTTGGTTCTCAACCAGCATTTATTCATTCTTAATGTTTAAATGAGGTATTGTTTGTGATGTTTTTGTGTTGATATTTTCACTCTGTGATATTTTGATTGGATACATTGTTATGTATGTTGATATTGTAGAACAGCTCTGAAATATCTTTGATTGCTGTAAATTTATATCGTGGTGTGGTCAGACAGAGTTAATTGAGATTACATTTTGTCCGTGTTAATATAGACTTTATTGTGTTATGATCTCGCGGGAAGACGCTGTGCATTTCGGGAATTTGTGTTGATATTGTGATAGATTCTAGTTATGTACAGGGGTATGTGAAAGTGATGGAGTATCTAAAAACGTTAATTTTTTTCTATAATTGCGTGTTGACATTGTGGTATCACATGAACCAATATGTTGACACGGATCAGAAGAAATCATTCAATATTAAAAAATAAATTTATTGAATTTTGGGGGTTAGTGCACCTTACCATTGATCTTCTTTAAACAGTTTCTGTACCAACTTAGGCCTTTTTCATAGAATGACGAAACAGCAGGAGGGTGCGGTTTAGTTCATTATTTGGCCCGACTATAACTAATTATAAATTAACATCGATATATGTATTATTACTTGTGTATCTTTTTACAATCTTGAAATAAATCTTTGTCGGTTGATATTGTGTGGTTTCGTCTGTATGATCGCTACGTTGTTATACTTGATTTTTTTTCATATCACATCCTCTCTAAAAGTAGCAATAAAAAAATCTCGATTTTTGTTACTTGAATTAGATCATCTTAACACTGACACAAATATAAAATTCGATTTTTTACATCACAATCCATTTATTTATTTTCATAAGCTGGAATACAAATTTCAACCTATCACGTGATCACTTCCGGTATACAACTTATAATCCTCTATTCGGGCCGCATGATTACACGAGGGCCCCTTGCAACAAAAATGACACACTACCGGTTGGTTTGAAGGTCCCTTTTCATTATTATACATGTCAAGGCACACTGGATTATTCATACTCTGAATCCACCATTTATCGTAGCATTCTTCCTCGCCAACACATCTGAAAAAAACACGACACCATATCTACAATATTTGTCTTTTTATATGTCGTTTTTAATTTAAATTTCAGGATATCCGTTTCTGTACACGTGTTTAAAATTAGTGATTTAAGTACGACAAGCGTTAAGAATAAAAATAACCGTGAACGTTTGAGTGAAAAAAATAGGATTCGTAGTGAAATTGTAAAGCCTTAGTTCTGGAAACATGTGACATTGGTATGATGAAAGTAATCGAAATCCAAGCATACTTCATTTTTTAAATTTCAAGCCTTGATTTTATGACACGCAGGGTAATATAACTTTTACATTGTCATTTCGAAAAATCAATGAAGCAATGGTCAGTCCAGTTATTGCTTACTCTCGACTGAACTCCCGAGCACCATTGCGTTTCTGAATGATGGTGTTCATACAGTAGTTCTTTCCTACTGCGCATGTCTTCAATCCATCTGCTTTACAGTCAGTCTCATTACATGAGTAGCAAGACGTATATGCTATTTCCGATGTCGCTGAAAATGTTTGACTCGTCGTGATTGTCTGTGATACTGGATCTACAACACTAGGCACAGGGGATGTTGTAATGGAAGTGAAAGGCATTTGCGTGGAGGAGACAGCGACAGAGGGCGCAGGTGTCGTTGAGAGATCAGAAGAGAGCACTGCCGTTGTTATTTTTTCGGCAGAAGTAGTAGAGGGTGGCTGCATCGTCGAAAGAATCGACACTAAGGTTGTTTTGGTTATTTCAGTGGAAGGTCTTGTGTTAAGAATTCCAAATTTTCCAACATCGGAGTCTCGGAAATACACTAAAAAGAACGTACACTTCAAATTATAACCATGCAAATTTAAAGTATCACAAGAATACAATAAACATTTATTGTGTAGAAGTGTTTTTGTGATGTACTAAAACAACTGAAAAATATTAATTATGTTAATGAAATATAGGCGCATTATGAATAACTTCGTGTAAGAAACACAAATCATGAACAAGAAACGTTTACATTGTTATTGAATATTTCCAGGTCGGGATTAATCGACTACCACTGAACTGAAAATCGATAACACCGTGTATCTCTCTAGTCTCCGTTTACATTTTAACTCTTTCGATCACTTTGGATTTTCCTATTTTTATAACTTGATAACCTGATATTTCATGCTGAATAATTTGTAACTGATATGCATATACGAGGACTAAATGATAAGGTATGAGTCTTGTACTGAAAACGTTAAGCAGTCTTGTCATTTTTCAGCTCAACTGTTAAGTGACTTTTCAAGGGCCTTCAAGGTCCCAAGGCTGGTGTCATTTGGTCATTATGTCGAAGAGGTAGCTCTCTAAAATGTACAAAATGGCTGAAAGGGCAGTGATTCAATATTTGCACAAGAAAAGTCTATCACCTAAGGTTATCCATTACTGGTGTGGTAGCAAGACGCTCTACGTATGCTACAGTCAAAATGTGGGTGGTGGAATTTAATGGTGGCAGAAAGAGCCTTGGAGATGACGCTGAGAGGTCTGTCACTACTGCGACCCCAGAAATGGTCAATAAAGTCTATGATATTGTTTGCCAGACAGGTGAATTAAAGAGAAATCTAGACCCAGTACAGTTCGGATTTCACAGGTAAGAGTGCATTTCATTCTTACTGATGATCTTGCAATGAGAACACTCTCAGCCCGTTGGGTACCAAGACTTGTGACAGTTGATCAGAAGAACACCAGGCAGAAATTGTCGCGTTGTAATCTGAACAGAGACAGGTCCAGCTAAATTTCTGCAGAGGTTTCTGACTATTGACGAATGAAATATTTGCCAATCAGTTCACCCCAGAGGCCAAACAACAGTCTGTACAATTGAAGCACCCTGGCTCAACTCGCCAAAGAAGGGAAAGACTGCTCCATTAGCTGAAAAGGTTATTGCCTCTGTTTTCTGGGATGCTAATGGTAATCTGAAGATAGATTATCTGCAAAAGCACAATGCATCTCTTGGAAGACCGTTAAGAATCTGCTCCTGTGAAAGGGCAATTTGTATGGCTTCTAATACCTTATGGTAAAGGTGAGAACATATCTATATATATAATGAAACAAAACGATAGGTCAGTGTGCTTGTTTTCCTATGACATGTTACTGAACTTCGGTTGTACTCTAAATATAATATATATTATTGATATTATTATTAATATATATAATATTGTCTTCTTTCTTACTATCTGATAACTTATAGTGTTAATAATCATCTGTTTCCATTCTTAAAACAAATAAACACTTCTTCTAGCATGAATTGTATTTTTACACAATCAATATCATATTTGACAAATAATTTGAAGTGGTGTACAAATGGCCGTGATCAACAATATGTTAAGTGATCTTGGGAATAACGTCACCAAGTAACGTTCGATCGGTCATCGCAAGTTTCAGAATGAGTAAAGAGTATGGTTTTCAGTTATGTTTAACATCTTCATATGGCGTCATTTTGCATTACGAATACAAAGTTTGAGGTACTGATGGTGTTGTTAGTTATTGATTTAAATCTGGTCATAGTTTGTTTGTACCCAATTCTTGTGGACATGCATCTCGTTGCTGTCTTGTCCGACAGCGCTAGCACGGATTTGTTTACGTACTGTGCCTGCTGGTCATAGATCTAAGATATGAGCCGCCCTGAGTATTTTTCAGCATTAAAACAAACCATTTGCTATGCTGAACATAAAAGAAACTTTAAGTCAAAATAATATGTACTAAAATTTCTTCTCAATCAGCTTCCCTTTTACGTCACGTCGTTTCGCTGACTGAGTTATCGCCCTTCTCGAAAACGTCACCAGATCAGATTCTTAAGATGAAATATCAAACGCAAGCGCCGCGGAAAACTCGGTAAATGTGTGTTGTTCCACCGGGACAATGACCCTGTTTACATGTCCGACATTGCAATGGCTGCCATTAACGAGTATCACTTTCAAATGATTGAGCCTTCTTCCACGGTCTCACTCCTTCAGAGTTTTAATTTATTTCCGAAATTCAAAAACGCCATTTCCTTTACTCCATTTCGCTCATATGATGACGTCATACATGCTGTTGAGGTCGCTCTAAACGACCACGAAAATTTCTTCTTTAAAACTGTATTTGGGGCCCTTAACCATCGCCAAAAGAAAATAGATACTGAAAAGGAATTTTGTTGTTGGAAAGTGCAATATATCCGCCAAAAGTCCTTAAAGATAAGGCTCACAACTTATCAATCAGCCATTGTAAAATATTACACTCAAATGTAAATCACTCACTGTTCTCATATTTTACCATACAGCAAAAATCTTGTGGACATCTGTGGACCACAAGACATTGACACCAGTGAGTATAGACATAAGACCTATACCGTTATTATTTCTTTGATAACAAAGACTTTTGTTATGCCAACGACACTAATTGATTTGGTGAGTTTGGTGTAGTTACTATAATCAGTACACATACAAGAGGGGAATAAAGACACATATGATATCCCTGATATGTTTTTAGTTTATTTGTTTTCTATTTTCATTAAACTAAGTAAACAGAAAAGTAATTTTTTTATATCTTGTAAAAAGTATTCAGAATACTTCTAACATCTATCAATGTTTGTAAAGCAAAAAAAAATCAAAGTGAAAACAAATGTAAAAAACAAACAAAAAATTGTAAATAGAGAGAAACGTAAAAAATTGCTCAGTAAGATATTATATGTTATAGATCATTGTAGTATTTATCAATTTCCCTTCAAACAGTGTAAAAGTGTTTGGCTATATATCCATAGTTATGTTTATTACGTCACAATGTAGTTTGTGAATGTGTGACATCATTAAGTCGTCCATAACTGGCGTCACAAATAGTTTCATTACACACGTTCAGTACACAACATCAGTACAGTCAATTACTAATCAGACAAGTATGTGATCAACGTATATAGTTTCTGTTATGATGTTATGAAAGGGTAACGACATCATATTCTGTCCCTTATGTACTTTGATATATGGATGGCACGATAACCATGTGATATGAAGCTGCCAACTAAATATCTTAAAGTCTCTTTAATAAAAGGATAGCCCTTACTACTTCCGCACTGACATAGGTGACAGTGTAACCCAATGGTTCTCAGATTACATATTTCTGTTGGGCAATCGTCAGCGTCCGTCAGACAGTTAATCACAGGGGCAATGGTATGTGCCTGCTCTACCGTCGTCGTCGGTAAATCAACGTGGTAATGTACAGGGCCCTGACTGGATGTTCCTGTTAAAAAAATAGATTTCTAGTATTAACGAATCTATAAATGCGAGTACATTAAAGTTACCTTACTTATGCTTTCATAATATTTTAATGTATATTATATATATAAGTAAGTATATGTGTTTGTAGTATACAGTTAATTTCTTACACACAACTTTAACATGCTTAGCTCGTGATAAATACATTTCGTTTCACTTTTTGACGGGTTCAAAGGTTATGTTTTCTTCGTGATATTATATTTGGCAAATGGCCAGTTATTCTGAAATACTTATTATATCATACTGTCACACTGAAAAAAGTATAACACAGCGACATCAATGGAGATAAAAGAAGCTAACCAAGGCTGTCATTTATATTATGCCTGCTTGATATATAGTCTGTCATACACTGTCAATAACGTCGTATACAGAAATGGAAATTGTTTATAGGGAAACTGAAACCATACTTCATGTTTGTTACTGAATATTATTTCTTACAGCAGAAGTGAGATACGTCTCTCTCTGTTATCAAATATTGTGTATTACCTATAGACTAACATACTTCTCTTTCTGTGAACAAATATTTTATACTATCGCTGGACTAACCTACCCCTCGATGTTTGACTAAATATTACGTATAATCACGATGTGATTTTTTTCTCAGTTTTCTTTTTATTTCTAGGTTTTCCCACGAACTTCATAATGTGGTACATATATCTGCAGCGAAAAAAATACAGATATATAAAACACAGGAATGTCATTTTATACTATTCTGAATATTGACAATTCGTAACATCAATGTGGTACATATATCTGCAGCGAAAAAAATACAGATATATAAAACACAGGAATGTCATTTTATACTGTTCTGAATATTGACAATTCGTAACATCAATGTGGTACATATATCTGCAGCGAAAAAAATACAGATATATAAAACACAGGAATGTCATTTTATACTGTTCTGAATATTGACAATTCGTAACATCAATGTGGTACATATATCTGCAGCGAAAAAAATACAGATATATAAAACACAGGAATGTCATTTTATACTGTTCTGAATATTGACAATTCGTAACATCAATGTGGTACATATATCTGCAGCGAAAAAAATACAGATATATAAAACACAGGAATGTCATTTTATACTGTTCTGAATATTGACAATTCGTAACATCAATGTGGTACATATATCTGCAGCGAAAAAAATACAGATATATAAAACACAGGAATGTCATTTTATACTGTTCTGAATATTGACAATTCGTAACATCAATGTGGTACATATATCTGCAGCGAAAAAAATACAGATATATAAAACACAGGAATGTCATTTTATACTGTTCTGAATATTGACAATTCGTAACATCAATGTGGTACATATATCTGCAGCGAAAAAAATACAGATATATAAAACACAGGAATGTCATTTTATACTGTTCTGAATATTGACAATTCGTAACATCAATGTGGTACATATATCTGCAGCGAAAAAAATACAGATATATAAAACACAGGAATGTCATTTTATACTGTTCTGAATATTGACAATTCGTAACATCAATGTGGTACATATATCTGCAGCGAAAAAAATACAGATATATAAAACACAGGAATGTCATTTTATACTGTTCTGAATATTGACAATTCGTAACATCAATGTGGTACATATATCTGCAGCGAAAAAAATACAGATATATAAAACACAGGAATGTCATTTTATACTGTTCTGAATATTGACAATTCGTAACATCAATGTGGTACATATATCTGCAGCGAAAAAAATACAGATATATAAAACACAGGAATGTCATTTTATACTGTTCTGAATATTGACAATTCGTAACATCAATGTGGTACATATATCTGCAGCGAAAAAAATACAGATATATAAAACACAGGAATGTCATTTTATACTGTTCTGAATATTGACAATTCGTAACATCAATGTGGTACATATATCTGCAGCGAAAAAAATACAGATATATAAAACACAGGAATGTCATTTTATACTGTTCTGAATATTGACAATTCGTAACATCAATGTGGTACATATATCTGCAGCGAAAAAAATACAGATATATAAAACACAGGAATGTCATTTTATACTGTTCTGAATATTGACAATTCGTAACATCAATGTGGTACATATATCTGCAGCGAAAAAAATACAGATATATAAAACACAGGAATGTCATTTTATACTGTTCTGAATATTGACAATTCGTAACATCAATGTGGTACATATATCTGCAGCGAAAAAAATACAGATATATAAAACACAGGAATGTCATTTTATACTGTTCTGAATATTGACAATTCGTAACATCAATGTGGTACATATATCTGCAGCGAAAAAAATACAGATATATAAAACACAGGAATGTCATTTTATACTGTTCTGAATATTGACAATTCGTAACATCAATGCTGGTAATCGTAATCATAGTCGTACCTTTAGACACGCAGGGAACATAAGAATTAGAATTCTGTATGGCTTTTATGGCTCTGGACAGCTGGTAAATCGTATTATTACACTCTCTTCAAATGCTAACTGGGCGGGAGTGTAAAGTCCTAATTCTATGTCCTAATCAATTTAAATATTCATATAAGAATGCACACATTTTCGGACTTTGACAGAAAGACCTATGTCTACACAACTCTACTCTGTACAAACACTTTGAGAAGTGCATCTACCGTATATATGGCCTTGGGAAGGATTAAATCCAAAAGGGATGCTCTGACTCATGTCAAATACGTTTCCACCCTGAACAGGTCCGGAATAGGCAACATGAGAGTTATGCGATGGACCAAAAAGAAATTTTCTTCTCCTTTGAGGTGCTGTCAAAACAAAATATCAATGTGTTTGATAGCGCTAAACTAAAACATCATATCAAATTCATTGCAATATGAACAAATATTGATGTTTCGAGACAGATATATGTATTACATTAAAACAAAAATTCATTTTTTTTTTATAAAATTCGTTAAAATTAATTTCATATGAATTCATAAAAATAGTGTTCAACCTTTGTAACATGAACTGCATTTTGTACAATGTAAAACTTTTTAGTGTTGTTTAGTTCGTGTATTGTAAGTATTGTGAAGCAAAAACCACGAAGAGAAAAAAAACCGCGAAAAAATGTAAACGGTTTACATAGTTTGGACAGAACACAGAATTTCAATAATACCTGGTGGTTCTGAGTAGTAGTATAGAGGAATATGAATGGATAAAATATAAAAAAAATCAAACGAAAATGTAGCGAAGAACAAGTTTTTGTTTAAGCAATACAACGTAGTTCACAACAACATGAGTTCTGTATAAACGAATGATTACATGAAAATGGATTGCAGCCTTTAATTCATAATGACGTAATAAATCAAATATTCTATTCGCCATCATTAAATCATTGATTACCTGATGACGATTTCTTGCAGTCGCATATCTGACATGATGTCGTTGGACCGGAGAAGTCTTCCTCGTTCCTAATTGAGCAATTTGAAGGACACACGTACGAGTTTTCGTCACATGGCTTCTGTAGCGCTATGAACGTTTGACCTATTAAGAATTTGTACGATTTTGTAATGATCACAATTATGACTGAAATAGTTCATTACCTAAATATTACTGTATAGAATTACCAATTAAGCGCACAGTTCAAAGCATATCATATAAAAGGTATTGGTAATAGATATCGTTGTTGTTAGTAAAGAAACAGCGTTAGTGATTAAAGTAGAGTTATTTTCATATGACTAGTTTAACGATGGGTAGATTTGCGTATTTCGACTAATTGCTTCTCGAGACTGTGACTGCTTTTGAATCATCTTCTTAATTATATGGCAATCTTTCGCAAAAGAATATTTTTCTGTATTTCAAAATCTCCGTCATTTAGAAGACGGAGCAAATGATCTACATAGACGTCAATACAAGGGAGATAATAATTTCATTGATCATATAATCAATGTAAATTATCTAAAAAAAAACTCGAAATGCTCGTTGTTAAATATATTTTACTATAGTCATTTGTCCTGGCCTAATTACTGTGAAAATCTGACTATAAGGATTGTATTTCGCAGCATTATGAATTTTTCAGTGTCATTTGTTCTCATTGGAACAATAGATTATTGTCCGGCACGCCCAATGGATAACCTTTTCCCGTGAAAAAAATCATAAACAAAAACAAACATCGGCCATTTGTCTATTTGACCTAAACGTGAATTGTAGATAAAATGATGTAAAACAATACTGAATTATCACTTGATTATCGATCATTACAACTCTAATCTTCTACTGGTTGTAAGAAGTACCAATCTGATATATAGTCCCTACATCAACAACATTGGCGGCAGTGAATATGACATCATACACCAACATGCCCAATTTGACTACAAATTCTTCTACGTTCCACTGTCGTTTGTCGAAGAAGTAGGTTATAACAGTACATTTCATTTCTCCTATGATTAAAATGGGATACTAAATTTCCGTTCTTTTACTCCACTTATTTCGGAATCGTTGACTTCCTTATCTCGAATTCTAACTCCACTATGGTGAATCACATTTATCTAAGCTTTTATTTTACTTGTTCTAAGATCGTTAATGAAACAAGAACAACTACTTATTCATAAAAAAACACTTACAGTTCCTCATAGTTCCAATATACAATATCTAATTCAGCACAGCACTCATCACAAATGGCCATGTAATGAATACATGATTACATGGTATCACGCCTATCACAATTAAAGAATCTTAACGATGAACTTTGTAACTATTAATTACCTTCAGGACAAGAACAATGGTAACAGTCCCATGATCCCACTCTGTAATTGGTCACGTGGCATGCGGATGGACAATAATCCGCTTTAGGCAAGCAAAACATTTCTAGGAAGCTCGCCGGATCTTGATTTAAAAAAAATATACATCAAACATTATCTCAAATAAAATGTCCACCAATATATTGTCAATACTGTTTCATCGGTGACAAAACTATTGACTAGCAAAAACAGCAAAATTAATACGAGACTCATAACTGAAAATTAAAAGAGACAAATAATAAATTAAACTGCACCATACAGCTGTTTCATCAATATATGACCCGTCAGGTGGTCCTAATAAACAGTTGTAACATGAGATGACTGGAAATATGATTCCAATTTGTGGAAATGAATGTTAAAAAACTACACAGGACTTTCGCTACCCCAAAACACAATGAATTTATCATTTATTCAATATTGAATGAATGTGATATTCGTATTAAGGTAAAATAATTCCAGAAGTTTGTATTTCTACATTTATTTACTGCTGATTATCAATGTAACAATCGTTTTAAACTCTTCTTTATCCTTTGATGGTTTCGTGGTGTCTTAGTTACCTATAATGTTAGTGTTACAAATCTTGTCGATGATATTCTGTTCATCACAAATTTATATATGTGCATTCAAATTAATTTTACTCGTAGAAAACATTGTTACTGTAAATAACTTAATAATGCGATGATGATAAGTAAAACAGTACAGTCTAAAGGTTGTTTTTCTTGATACTCTAATATTTTGCTGTTTTGCCATCAGCTTGTACAACGAGTTTATTCGTCGCGGAAGTCGTGAATTTGGCTTTATTTACTTATTCTGATTATAAGATATATATATTTTTGTGGATATTCTACATTTTTTTGTGCGGTAGTCAATGCAACAAAAGACGCTTACTCTTCTGGAACACCTGGTCTTATTATCCTTGTACTTTTTAAGGAGTCTGCGTGTAAATCTTTCTTTTGTACATAATTGGCCCTAGTATTATGGAATTTCGGTTGGAATTGTGATTATGGTGCCATGTTGGTATTTTCTTGATACTTATTCTGATTATAGGATATATATTTTCCTGAATTAAATCCATTCTTGAAAATAGCAAATAAAATCCATCGAAAAAAAAAACTTTTACAGAATTGCTTAAACCTCCTAGAAATGAAGAAATTACCTATTGTTGTAGGTGGTTCCGTGGTTTCCGATGTAGTGGAAGGTTGGTCCGTAATTGGCGTAACAGCAGCTGCATCTAAAACAAACATTAAAACAAGTGCGAGAAGAAATATGTTATGAAATTGTAATACATTTAAATAGGATATGTTACTATCGTGCGAGTATGAATACACCGAGATCGAGGTCATATGTTAAGATCGTAACGAAAAACATATCTAAGTATTAATTTTTGGTTTCATGGGGTGATGCATTGAGTTGTCCCTCAGACAAATTCAATGAACTGTGACATGTATGTTAATCTGGTCATATTCATAAACAAACGTAACAGGCTAAAATCTGTACATTTAGACTGTTTTACTTATCATCATCGCATTATTCAGTTATTTACAGTAACAAACGTTTTCTGGGAGCAAAGTGAATTCGAATGCAACCGGAGTAGAAATTAAGATATAAATTCATATAAACATAATGTTTTCCTTTTAATATTCTTTAACGACTGTACCACGAACTCTCAATAAACATAAAAGGTTCCGTCTGTCTGTATCGATATTTTATCTTATCAGGAAATTTGTGTTTTATACACGTACCGATTAACTTTATAGTGATACCAGAATACAACAGAATATTACTGATACATCTCTCAGCAATAGTTTTGTTAAGCGTAACGGATTGGGTACATTACGACAATCAATTGGATAAAACGCCCCCCGTTTACAGACATCTCATGTCTATATAAGGCATAATCTCGTTATATGGCCAATATTTCAGTAAAAATTGCTTTTAACACAACGAGATGTTTAATGATATTATTGTTACTCAATAGACACACGGATTAACAAGCATTAACATATAAGTATGGATCTAATGATACATACAGAATGCGACATGTTTAAATACTCATTTGACCTTGTTCTTTTAGGGAACGTTACATTACCAACTTGGATATATCGAATTTTACATCGGCGGGTATTGTCAACGGAGCAGTGGAAAATGGCCTCTGTTCGAAATTTGTTCTTATTTCTAAGTGTCTCAAATTTAATTATCCTTTTATTCAAATTTCCCATGTTTCATAACATTGAAAGTAGATTATATTGTCATGGCAATAATCACTTGTTTTTCGTGCTAGGAGCAAATGATATTCAAAGTTGTTTACAATGCATGGAATGTGTCTAATTATGACAATTATTTCTACCAAATATGTTTGAAATATTTCAAATTACACCGTATAATTCATTCAGATAATGTACTGTTTTCAATTTTAACACTCATGTACTACAGTACCGATAAAAATCGCTTAGATTCAAATCTGAATTTTTAAATGTCAGCTAATTGGTAAATACAACGTCGTCATTAACGTGTTATTAATTAATTGATTTTAGGTAGAATCTTATTAACAAGTGGTTCTGTCTTACTGGAGGCCTGTGTAATAACACACTGACACATCCGACATCCACTCGGAGTCACGGGCATGTGTTGTCCAGGTGGACAGGTGAAAATAGGACAGGTGAAAAAAGGCATACACGGTCTGTTCCAAAACGCATGTGGCATCACTGTAACAAAGATATAAGAAAGGTGAAGAAAGATAGACACGGTTTGTTCCCAAAATCATAAAGCATCATTGTAACGATACTCAATATTGCGTCAAATAAAAAAGAGACACAATAGATGCCAGTCTTTTTCCTAAACAGTTTATGATAGTTTAACGTCAAGTCTTAAAGAACAAAATGAGAAACAACTGTAAGATATCAACGATAACAACAAAAAACAAACCACAGAAAAATCAGTGACAACGGCACTGCGTAAAGTAACTGAAAGCCAACGATAAGGTATCAAAAAACAAAGATATACCTACATATCAACATAGTCCAAATCCAAACTCAAACTCAACAAACATTATATAAAACTTTGGCAAGTTATGAACAAAAGAAACCGTTACACGGAGACTCTTGAAAAAGTACAAGAAGACTAAATAGAACCATGCATGTAAACCATAGTCAATCCAAGTAAGTAATGTTAATTTCCTTAAACAAGAATGGTAAACATCAGGATATTACATGAAACATACGTGTTCAATTAGCTAGTACAGTATATAGTGTTCAAGGACCATCACACGAAGGAATCAAACCACACACCTCATGTCTTCACCTGGGTTTGTTAATTTATTTTTTATCACACAGACCAAGGAAACATTTGTGAGGGCACTCACAAACGAGGAAGAAAAAATCCTTATTTGGTTTTTTTCAGAAAAGGTGAAACATCGATAACATTTGACATCATTATCAACAACAGTTCAACTATATTGTCCTCGTGAAATGATGATTAGCTTATTCCGTTAAAAACCACAATGATACAAAAGACACTTACTCTTCCGGAACATCTGGTCTTATTCTCTTTGTTTCTGTTTTTTCAGGAGTGTCTGTATAAATCTTTCTTTCCATATTTTGCCCTAGGTTCAATGATTTTGAGTTTGAATCATGATTATATTGACATCTTGGTTTTTCATAACTTACTATATTACACAACTTACTTTCAGGGCCTGGATGTCGTTGCATATGTTGTCTAACCAAGCGCACTTGATCTTCCTTCCAAATTTTTTCTGAAATAGATCATCATAAGCCTCAGGGAAATACGAAGTGAATCTAGGTATGAATTCAAAATCTGGGCAACAGAAAAAACGTTCAGTATCATATCGCACAAACAAAATAATCCTTTTAAAATGAGATCTCTATGACGACCGTAAAACTTCCCAATACTTTTTCTGTCTCAACCTTAAAGGGGAATTCAGAAAATTCAAAGTGACCGAAAGAAATGTTTAGATGGGGAGTTGACTAGCCTCACAATTAAATACATTTCGTAATTTTCATATGTTTGATAGTGATATAAAAACGTCAAGTACTCGTGTTTATTCAGAATCAAGTTAGAGTCGACGTTCGATCATTCAATACAGTAGATGATTTATAGATTTCGTTATGAGTAGATCTTATATTACAAGCGTAACATGATTTGAAATGATCTATATCAATCTGAACGTTGTTGCCTTTGAAGCAGAAGGCAATAATCCTTAGACAAGTCTCAAGATCTTAGTGCATTCTGGTACCCATACAATAATTTAATCACATAACTCGTCTGTTGTGTCACGCCATATACACAATGTACGATATATTTCGCTACAAACTCTTCTTTAAAAGGCTTGACAATCTTAACATCTAAAGAGATTGTTTTAATCGTACTGAAGACACAAAAGTAAATCACATCTCTCAACACCACTTTGGAATTAGACACAAGATAAAGGACAAAAACTACATCATAATGCTTTTCATCGGGTAGATCCTTAGGTTTCAAATTGTTGAACCTCGGGACGCGATAGAGAGAAACTGATTCTTCTTCTCGAATAAACTGTTATTGGTGTATTTAAAAAGCTTACACACTACATGTTGTGGCAAAAAATTAAACAGATATACATTAATTCTTAAATAAAATCTTATATCTGTAGGACACTATCCGACACACAGACTCTATATATATAATCTGATATCTGTAGGACACTACCCGACACACAGACCCTGTATATAAAACCTGATGTCTGTAGGACACTACCCGACACACAGACCATATATATAAAACCTGATGTCTGTAGGACACTACCCGACACACAGACTCTATATATAAAATCTGATATCTGTAGGACACTACCCAACACACAGACCTTATATATAAAATCTGATATCTGTAGGACACTACCCGACACACAGACCCTGTATATAAAATCTGATATCTGTAGGACACTACCCGACACACAGACCATATATATAAAATCTGATATCTGTAGGACACTACCCGACACACAGACCATATATATAAAATCTGATATCTGTAGGATACTACCCGACACACAGACCCTGTATATAAAATCTGATATCTGTAGGACACTACCCGACACACAGACCTTATATATAAAATCTGATATCTGTAGGACACTACCCGACACACAGACTCTATATATAAAATCTGATATCTGTAGGACACTACCCGACACACAGACCTTATATATAAAATCTGATGTCTGCAGGACACTACCCGACACACAGACTCTATATATAAAATCTGATATCTATAGGACACTACCCGACACACAGACCTTATATATATAAAATCTGATGTCTGTAGGACACTACCCGACACACAGACCTTATATATAAAATCTGATATCTGTAGGACACTACCCGACACACAGACCCTATATATATAACCTGCTATATGTAAGGCACTCTCCGGAACACAAACCATGTTACGTACTTTAGATTCTGTTTGTTAGGCTTACCTGTTAACAAAGATGCTTTAGACCATTCTCGCCTCCCAATCAAGGCAGACTGCGGACTATCTGCTAACATATAAAAGGAAACCCATGAAAAACTGTGATATTTGAGCCAAACTGGTGAATTATAGAATACATTAGGATGAAAATGTACACAATATGAAATTAAAAAACCCATTAGTTTGCATGGCTGTCTCAAATGACATTTAACACGTGTGAGTGTAAGCTATAGAGGAAATGAAATGACACATATGATACATAAATGTCTTCCTCATGGAGAGGGTGGGGAGGGGGGGATATCATTTTCATTTTTCTCGTTCTTACAGTGTCCGTTGTGCCTTTTGGCGCCAATTTTCAGAAATGTTCGCCTTTTCATGTCTTGTCTGCTGTATTTACACAATGTACCTTTGTCCATATTTTGTTCTGATCTGTTCTCACCTTGTCTGGTCAGCCAGTCAAACATTTCTCTTTGTGTGTGTAATACTGTTCACATTTATGGTTGTCTACTATAGCTTACGTCTTGAGTGTATATCCGGACATTCACATCTCTCGCACGTTCTGCCGGACGAAAGTGTCACGTTTCTTCTGATACATGTCGTGGGACACATGGCATTAGAAAGTATACACGGATTTCTCAGTTCCACGTAATGAATGTTGTTTACAATAAAGTGCCCAGGGGGCAGGGTGGTCGTCGTTGAGGCAGTCGTTGATGTAATTGTTGTTGTATCTGGCCATGCTACTGAAAATATCAACACGATCTCATGACATAATGCATAACAATCGTTTCATGGTTTAATAGTGCCATACACCTGTTTCCTATTCCAATGCCTCACACGTGCTTCTTATGACAATGCCACACACCTGTTTCCTATTCAAATGCCTCATACGTGCTTCTTATGACAATGCCACAAACCTATTTCCTATTCCAATGCCACACACGTGCGTCCTATGACAAAATCACACACTTGCTTCCTATGACAATGCCACACACGTGCTTCATATGACAATGCCACACATGTGCTTCCTATGACAATGCCACACACGTGCTTCCTATGATAAAGTCACGCACGTGCTTCCTATGACAATGCCACACAAGTGCTTCCTATGACAATGCCACACACGTATTTTCTATGCCAATGCAACATACGTGCTTTCTATGACAATGCCACACACGTGCTTCCTATGACAATGCCACACACGTGCTTTCTATATCATGTTTTGTGTTAGTGGTTACTCCATGACTAATGGTTCTGATATATTAGATAAAAAACATTGAATTCACGGCTGAATAAAAACCAATTATACACTATTATCTATAATTCCCCTAAGCAATAAAAGTCTCCGACACTTCAGTGTGTGACATTTGTATTTACTTGTATTTCCATACACCATTATCATTGTAAAAGTTTTCCGAGAACTCTTTAAGAACGATTTCCTTGTATCATCAATATACAGCATTCGGTAGCGGTAAATAATTTCTTTGTGTGGCCTGTGTTAGTATTTTTGTTCATTAGTTCATCCCTTCATCAAAACTTTTATTGAAATGTTTTTTTTTAAATTAAAGATTCTCAATACAGTCGGTCAAGTTGAATAAGGCGATGTGTAATTCATATTCATTATAACTATACTTTGTTGAACATCACTGGTCTATAGTAAGTGGAATTCCCTTGGTGTAAAACGCGTTCATGTTGTGAAGCCGTTCACTATTGGGATTCGCTAAAACGTGAGTATTTTTTACCAAGACAATGTGGTTCAATTTTAGCAAATTTTCAGAAATAATTCTTTCATTCGAAGCTGTAGTTTTGAGTGGAAATAAGTGATATTTTAGGATTTTCACAAATTATACTTTTATTTTTCTCATTACACAATTTTGATTTCCCTAAAAGAAGTACATGTAAGTTTGTATTTTTCATCAGCAAATTCTTCTATCTGTGTACTGCAAACCATGTCCTATCACTTCAGGACAAATTAACTAACTGTGACCCAGTGTCTTTCCAAATGAAGCGTTCCAATCAGTGTGGCTTTTATCTAGTTTCCATCGATATTTACTGTGAGAGATAACAAAATAGTTATGTATCCTGTTATATGTTACGTTGCCTTGCGTGACAATTCCCCACCACACACATTTTACCTGAATCTATAGGATTTGTGCAGAAACAAAATTCGCAGTTAGTTGACCCGGACATCTTCATAAGGTTACAGGTCAGAGGGCAGATGACGTCCTGGGTCCGGCACGGATTCACGGGGGCCACGAATTCCGGATCACTAGATATCACACCTAAATATAGATCCTATATTTATTCATATCAACATCAAATTTTCACATCATACATTGTATTTATATGGCGTCTTACATGACATTCCCTATATAACAGATAGATCTGTGAGTATAGTCTCTATCAGTAGTTCAGGATTATTTTATAAATAATTCAATTTTTTCTAGCCTTTTTTAGCTTTGAAGATAACAAATCAATTTATTTCTAGATATTTTTAGTAATGGGTTTTAATGTCATCATGTTTTCTGGTTATTTTTTATATTGGTTATCAGCATTTCGCTAAAGATCATAAATACAACATGCGTGGGTACAGACCAGGTCACTAAACGTAAGAATATCGTGATGGAAACAAGTCACACAAAGACACAGTGTTTCTTTTACTCTGCTTAATTATTTCCAAAAGTTACAAACAACAACAAGAAAATACAAACATAGCAACATAATTCTAATCCAAAATCAAATTCCATAAATCCAAGGCAAAATATGAACAAATAATACTCCTGAAACAGTACAAGGGAAATAAGACCAGAGGTTCCGGAAGAGTAATCGGCGACTACCGCCGAAGACACTCGTTAATGCTGTTTTTAGTAACTTTCGAAAATAAGTAACTCGAGTGCAATACCTTGTTGTGTGACCTTTGATTATAAAGAAATTATTTATGTAAATAAAAACCCAACAAATCTGTGCCATCATTTCTGTCTGGAAAATAATCATTGATATGTAAACTGACGCTATTCGTTCCGTATAAGTAAGAGAACGTACCACAGATCCATAACATAACGCTGAACGTCCGCCATTGTATACTCCCTGTCATGATGGAACCTGTACATGCAAAATACAACACAAGTTGGTAAAGTCTTTATAGAAACACTATCAAATATTCAGATAGGTACAAAGAACCAATCGCATTTTGCGAAAAAAACGAAAACCAAAAACAAATAAAAACAAAAAGCAAACAAATACCAACATTTCAACATAATCATTATTCAAATTCAAATTCAATTAAACTAGAGCAATAAAAAAAGAAAGAAAAAAAAAAGAAAAAAAATTACACGAGGACTCATGTACGAGGATAATAAGACCAAGTGCTCCGGAAGAGTAAGTGTCTTCTGCTTCATCGACGACACCTGCCATGTAAACCTTGGTTAATTCAAGTAAGTAATGTCATGTTTTCAAATAAGAACAAGGTAAAAAAACCAACGGAATCAAGTGTAACAACCTGAACAATGATAATCAGTGCAGTATCTATATCCCCTGTCATTATTACTGTAGATTTACACACTCGCTTACCTCTTGTTTTCTCATGTTTTTGTTATTAAGATCATTTTGCTAAATTGCAAAAAGAAAGTTTTTTATATATAAACAAATACCGCGAGTCTCTTAAGTATTCCTTACAGTAGTTAACTATTAGAACTACTCCCAAAATTTTCAAACGCTAAAATAATCAAACTAATGACGTGTAAAGCCGAGGAGAAAGGTAGATTTCATTAAACTTATCATAAATGTGAGTTTTATACAGCCAACGTAAGATCGTTCCTGACAGTTGTAACATGGGAAAGTCACCAAAAAAAAAACACCTCCTTGTAAAAACAACACCCTCAAGGTCAGAAAAACACTCTCCTGGTAAAACAACACCCTCATGGTCAGAAAAACACTCTCCTGGTAAAAACAACACCCTCATGGTCAGAAAAACACTCTCCTGGTAAAAACAACACCCCCATGGTCAGAAAAACACTCTCCTGGTAAAAACAACACCCTCAAGGTCAGAAAAACACTCTCCTGGTAAAAACAACACCCTCAAGGTCAGAAAAACACTCTCCTGGTAAAACAACACCCTCATGGTCAGAAAAACACTCTCCTGGTAAAAACAACACCCTCATTGTCAGAAAAACACTCTCCTGGTAAAACAACACCCTCATGGTCAGAAAAACACTCTAATGGTAAAACAACTACCTCATTGTCAGAAAAACACTCTCCTGGTAAAACAACACCCTCATGGTAAAAAAACACTCTCCTGGTAAAACAACACCCTCATGGTCAGAAAAACACTCTCTTGGTAAAAATAAACCACATTCAGGGTCAGAAAAACACTCTCCTGGTAAAACAACACCCTCATGGTCAGAAAAACACTCTCCTGGTAAAACAACACCCTCATTGTCAGAAAAACACTCTCCTGGTAAAACAACACCCTCATGGTCAGAAAAACACTCTCTTGGTAAAAAAAATCACATTCAGGGTCAGAAAAACACTCTCCTGGTAAAAACAACACCCTCATGGTCAGAAAAACACTGTCTTGGTAAAACAACACCCTCATGGTCAGAAAAACACTCTCCTGGTAAAACAACACCCTCATGGTCAGAAAAACACTCTCCTGGTAAAACAACACCCTCATAGTCAGAAAAACACTCTCCTGGTAAAAACAACACCCTCAAGGTCAGAAAAACACTCTCCTGGTAAAACAACACCCTCATGGTCAGAAAAACACTCTCCTGGTAAAAACAACACCCTCATGGTCAGAAAAACACTCTCCTGGTAAAAACAACACCCTCATGGTCAGAAAAACACTCTCCTGGTAAAAACAACACCCTCATTGTCAGAAAAACACTCTCCTGGTAAAACAACACCCTCAAGGTCAGAAAAACACTCTCCTGGTAAAACAACACCCTCATGGTAAAAAAAAAACACTCTCCTGGTAAAACAACACCCTCATGGTCAGAAAAACACTCTCCTGGTAAAACAACACCCTCATAGTCAGAAAAACACTCTCCTGGTAAAAACAACACCCTCAAGGTCAGAAAAACACTCTCCTGGTAAAACAACACCCTCATGGTCAGAAAAACACTCTCCTGGTAAAAACAACACCCTCATTGTCAGAAAAACACTCTCCTGGTAAAACAACACCCTCATGGTCAGAAAAACACTCTCCTGGTAAAACAACACCCTCATTGTCAGAAAAACACTCTCCTGGTAAAACAACACCCTCATGGTAAAAAAACACTCTCCTGGTAAAACAACACCCTCATGGTCAGAAAAACACTCTCCTGGTAAAAAAAACTACATTCAGGGTCAGAAAAACACTCTCCTGGTAAAACAACACCCTCATGGTCAGAAAAACACTTTCCTGGTAAAACAACACCCTCATTGTCCGAAAAACACTCTAATGGTAAAACAACACCCTCATAGTCAGAAAAACACTCTCCTGGTAAAAACAACACCCTCATGGTCAGAAAAACACTCTCCTGGTAAAAACAACACCCTCATGGTCAGAAAAACACTCTCCTGGTAAAAACAACACCCTCATGGTCAGAAAAACACTCTCCTGGTAAAAACAACACCCTCATGGTCAGAAAAACACTCTCCTGGTAAAAACAACACCCTCAAGGTCAGAAAAACACTCTCCTGGTAAAAACAACACCCTCAAGGTGAGAAAAACACTCTCCTGGTAAAACAACACCATCATGGTCAGAAAAACACTCTCTTGGTAAAAATAAACCACATTCAGGGTCAGAAAAACACTCTCCTGGTAAAACAACACCCTCATGGTCAGAAAAACACTCTCCTGGTAAAACAACACCCTCAAGGTCAGAAAAACACTGTCTTGGTAAAACAACACACTCATGGTCAGAAAAACACTCTCCTGGTAAAAACAACACCCTCATGGTCAGAAAAACACTCTCCTGGTAAAAACAACACCCTCTTGGTCAGAAAAACACTCTCCTGGTAAAAACAACACCCTCATGGTCAGAAAAAACACTCTCCTGGTTAACACAACACCCTCATGGTCAGAAAAATACTCTCCTGGTAAAACAACACCCTCATGGTCAGAAAAACACTCTCCTGGTAAAACAACACCCTCATTGTCAGAAAAACACTCTCCTGGTAAAACAACACCCTCAAGGTCAGAAAAACACTGTCTTGGTAAAACAACACACTCATGGTCAGAAAAACACTCTCCTGGTAAAACAACACCCTCATGGTCAGAAAAACACTCTCCTGGTAAAACAACACCCTCATGGTCAGAAAAACACTCTCCTGGTAAAAACAACACCCTCATGGTCAGAAAAACACTCTCCTGGTAAAAACAACACCCTCATGGTCAGAAAAACACTCTCCTGGTAAAAACAACACCCTCATGGTCAGAAAAACACTCTCCTGGTAAAAACAACACCCCCATGGTCAGAAAAACAATCTCTTGGTAAAAACAACACCCTCATGGTCAGAAAAACACTCTCCTGGTAAAAACAACACCCTCATTGTCAGAAAAACACTCTCCTGGTAAAACAGCACCCTCATGGTCAGAAAAACACTCTCCTGGTAAAACAACACCCTCATGGTCAGAAAAACACTCTCCTGGTAAAACAACACCCTCATGGTAAAAAAAACACTCTCCTGGTAAAACAACACCCTCATGGTCAGAAAAACACTCTCCTGGTAAAACAACACCCTCATGGTCAGAAAAACACTCATTTGGTAAAAAAAACCACATTCAGGGTCAGAAAAACACTCTCCTGGTAAAACAACACCCTCATGGTCAGAAAAACACTCTCCTGGTAAAACAACACCCTCATTGTCCGAAAAACACTCTCCTGGTAAAACAACACCCTCATAGTCAGAAAAACACTCTCCTGGTAAAAACAACACCCTCATGGTCAGAAAAACACTCTCCTGGTAAAAACAACACCCTCATGGTCAGAAAAACACTCTCCTGGTAAAAACAACACCCTCATGGTCAGAAAAACACTCTCCTGGTAAAAACAACACCCTCATGGTCAGAAAAACACTCTCCTGGTAAAAACAACACCCTCAAGGTCAGAAAAACACTCTCCTGGTAAAACAACACCCTCAAGGTCAGAAAAACACTCTCCTGGTAAAACAACACCCTCATTGTCAGAAAAACACTCTCCTGGTAAAACAACATCCTCATTGTCAGAAAAACACTCTCCTGGTAAATCAACACCCTCATGGTAAAAAAACACTCTCCTGGTAAAACAACACCCTCATGGTCAGAAAAACACTCTCTTGGTAAAAAAAAACCACATTCATTGTCAGAAAAACACTCTCCTGGTAAAAACAACACCCTCAAGGTCAGAAAAACACTGTCTTGGTAAAACAACACCCTCATGGTCAGAAAAACACTCTCCTGGTAAAACAACACCCTCATGGTCAGAAAAACACTCTCCTGGTAAAACAACACCCTCTTGGTCAGAAAAACACTCTCCTGGTAAAAACAACACCCTCATGGTCAGAAAAACACTCTACTGGTAAAAACAACACCCTCATGGTCAGAAAAACACTCTCTTGGTAAAACAACACCCTCATAGTCAGAAAAACACTCTCCTGGTAAAAACAACACCCTCATGGTCAGAAAAACACTCTACTGGTAAAAACAACACCCTCAAGGTCAGAAAAAACACTCTCCTGGTAAAACAACACCCTCATGGTAAGAAAAACACTCTCCTGGTAAAACAACACCCTCATTGTCAGAAAAACACTCTCCTGGTAAAACAACACCCTCATGGTCAGAAAAACACTATCCTGGAGAAACAACACTTTCATGGTCAGAAAAACACTATCCTGGAGAAACAACACTCTCATGGTCAGAAAAACACTATCCTGGAGAAACAACACGCTCATTGTCAGAAACATAATAGCCTCCTTTAATGTCTTGTTTTAATGTCACTTTAGTCTCTATAACAGTTTATTAAACGTATATTTATCCTGTTATTTTGTGTCTTTGTGCTAAAATCTAATAATCGTACTTAGGTATTGGCACGTCCACTATTGACTACAACAAGGACATCTGTGTAATAAGAT